CACTTCTGCACCCCTTGGTTTGGATCTGCTGGAGTCCAGTCACCCTTGGCTGAGGAGACGGTAGGGAGAACATGGGCCGAGGGCTTTGTGGGAGCATATAAAATGATTTTCCAAATAGGAATTAGTTGGAAGCAAGATTTTCTATTAATCAAAGTATTATTTTGATTTCATATCTATTAACCCCTTTTAATTTGTTTGGGAAGATAACACACTTGTTTTCCTTACACAGTTTGATAGCCCTATTAAATACATTTTACCTTTATTTCATTATTTAAATGACTGGTCATATTTCATTTCATATTGCTTTCTTAAATCAGAAATTACTTCCTCTCTTGCATTCTCTGCATCAGCATCCTAAAATGTTTTCATTTTTTGTCATTGCAGAGCAGAGAAGATTAGCAAAATACAGACCATACCTGGCAACCTGGACATTGTAGTAGATTATTTCCCTTTGGAACATCCAAGTATGAGTCCATTTTATAAATATTCAACATTTACAGCATTTAATGTAGGCCTTTAAAATTAATTATTGCTTTGTCACAGTTCTGCAAGATAAGAAAGAACAAAAAATGTAATTTTGACTTTTTTAATTATTTGGGGGGAGGGGGTTGATATTATTTTAACCAGTGCATATTGAATTGTTCTCTTTTTTTTTCTATGCCTATTTTGAATTGTAGGAAGAGCATGTGCTGTGTTCATTTGATGAGTCACAGCCTGTGCCTCTGACTGGTACTGAAGTAAATTGAAAGACTCTATTTGACTTTTGTGGGTTTTAGATCAGCCCCTGTACGAAGTATTATTATTATAGTAATGCCAAAGTCTCCCAACCCAAATTTATTTCACTTGTTCTTTTTCTACTACATGGGTTACCTCTCTCTGTGGTCCAGTCATGCAAAAAGCTCAGTACCTACCATTGGGAGTTGAGGATGCTCAGCAAACTCAGAGAAATGTTAATTCAGGAACTGGTTAAGTCTGAGTCTTATAAAGGACTTGCTATAATGGCAACGTTGCCACAAAAGTGAGGAACAGACCTGAGGAAATAGTGTTTTTTCATGGTTTGGGAAGGGGGAAAGGAGCTGAACCAAAAATTCTTCAAAACAATAGTTTTATTGGAACCAAATTTTTTTATCAAATTACAATTAAAAGAATATATAAAATTGAATCAATCCAAATGTTATTAAGTCAACCGAAAAACATTTTTTTTTTTGTTTCAAAATGTTTTGGTTGATTTCATTTTTTTCTGTGTTTTTGTTTCAGTGATATTCAGGGTTTTTTTTTTAACCTCCTCCCCATCCCTTTTTAAGGTCAAATTTAAAATCAAAATCAAATAAAAAAGTTGAAATAAAAGGTTCAACTGTTTTGATTTTGTTTTACCAACTGAAACTATTCACCAAATTCAACATGAATTTGACTAATAATTTCAGACCCTGAAAAAATGCAATTCAGTGAAAATAATGTATTAAAAATATTCACCATTTATAGTGAGGAATGAAATTAACAGTCAGTCATTCTGTTATGATACAGTCACTAGAACACTAGACTAGCTCAGGCATAATCATGGCAACCAAGTGGGGAGATAAGATTCTTAAAGCGCTTCTCTCAATTATATGTGTTTTAATTCAGATTTAGCCATTTATATATTGTCAGTTTTAATACATTTTTACATAAAGTTTAACTACAAAATAACTTCACAAAACATCAAAGTTTTTTCTAAATAAAAGAAAGGGAAAGGTCCTCATTTTTGTTTGCTGCATTTTTGTGTGCAAAACAGCCCTGTTTCACACAGATTTGTTCAATATGTTTTTGCCTACCTCCTTAATCATATTTTACAATGGGCTTTTCAAAGGGGCATGTGGAAGTTACAGGTCCTGACTTTTATTTTTCCTCTGCCTCTTCCCATCCCCACTCCAACTCACCTCCCCCGAGGCTCCTGTCTGCTCACTGCTCTTTGCCCTCCCCTAAATGCTTCCCCTAACCAATAAAAAACTGATCATTAGCACCACTGAACAGCACCCTGGCATCAGTGCCTATGGAATTTATTAAAAGTCACTGAAAGCTGGCTGCCTAACTCCCCTTGGCTCCATTGGAAATCCCACCCTGAGCTATTAATAACAGTCCTTTGGCATCAGAAAATTTGCCTTTCTTTAAAGGCCCAATCTAAAACTCACTGCAATCAATTTAAAGACACCTCTTTACTTCAGTGGACTTGAATTAGTCCCTAAAGCAGCCATCTGTGTTTAACACCTTTTTGGTGAAACATTGAATTATTCTTAGCCATGGCTAAAAGCTTGTATTGCTAAGGAAAGTTAACGTGAAGAGAGTTGGTCAGCAATCTCTTTAAGAAATTCCCAATAAGACTGTCTCTCTAGGAACTGCCAGTACCCTGATGAGAATTATCATCAGTTTGCATTAGACACCAGAAATGGAATGTCTGTTTTAATACTGCTTGATTTACAGTATGTCCAGCAAGTGCCTGATATATTGAATATTAGGAGAAGTTGTTTGTCAGTGTTTAAGCTGATATAAAACCCTTGTCTCCTCTGCTCACTGATGCAAAGGAGACATACACGAGTAAGTCCTACAGGGAGTGTTGGGAGCTACGTGAGTCCTTCCCCCTATGCTATTCAGCCACAGGTTTCCCTTCTGCAAAATATCCATGCATCTGCCTGGCAACTCACAGAAAGAGAGCAGGGCCAGAGGGTCCATAGGAAAGCAAGTAACATCTGCTGTAATTGGAGTAAGCCCTTTTTTATCTCATGAAATCCACATTTAAAAAAACAGAGCTCTGAGGCTTCACACAGTAGAGTCACAGAGAGTAACTAGTAGCTTGGTAGTTAATAGCAACCTGGCCAAAAGCTAGTAGGGTGTGTGTCTGTTGCGCTGTCTGCATTGAAAAAGATTTCATATGCTGACTGGAGCCTTGGTTCCTAAGGGATGCTAACAGTGGGATAGGATGTGCCTGAGCCATTGCTCTTTAAAAGCTGCAGCTTTTGTGCATTATTTTCTTCCTTTCTACTTGGTTAATTAGACACAATAGGGAAATATATGGGTCTATGTCACCATATTCCGTGAGCTGCTAGAAACATTTGCATTCAGGGAATGAGCTGGAATAAAGAGTCCTCAGGAATCTGTGTTAGGTTTGTTCCCTTTTGCCCTGAAGAGTTTTCCGTGTTGGTACCCAGTATTACCTGTCTCTTTAGGAGAACAAAACAGAGACTGCAGCTGGTATAACAATGCTGTAGGTATTCACCATGGAGACAAGTTTCATTCTAGGGCTGGACTTTTTTTTCCAAAATCTTTAAAAAATGTTCATCTCATAGTTTTGTTAGACAATTTTAAATTTTTCCACAAACCTCTGCCTAGATTCTCTGAATATGTTGAGGCAATATCCTATCATCCTCTTAAGGCCTTTCATTCCTATCATATATATGGCTTGTTTCAATCAGAAATATATCGATTGCTGCCTCTAGTGGGCTCATCACTTGGCAGCAGGAGAGAATACTGCATCCCCTTCTCCAGAGCAGACTTTCTGTAGTCTGTCAAGAACAAGCGCTCATGGAAAGAATACTAGTCTCTACTATGCGGGCCAAGACATCCTAACCTGGGATCAAACTCTTCCAGGATGATGGAATGTTCATTATTTGGAAAACATCTCTTTGATGGCTGTGTGTGACTATCGAATTTTTCATTGGCTGATGGATAGATTCTTGAGGTCAGCAAAAGTGACCAGCTTTGTGGCACTAATGAGAATAAATCAGATAAAGAACCTTTTATAATAGCCATTGGCCCATATTGGCTGATCAATACTTAGGAAACGTAATTCAGCTATTCACCATTAATATTGACTGGGAGATAAAGGAAAAAGGCTCTTTCCAGCTTATTTCTGGAATATATCTCACAGCTATGGCTGAAAATGCCTGAGACCAGGCATGGCCTTGTTTTAGTTGAGAAATTGGCTGGAGGGAAGACTGAAAGCGTTTGTTAAAAGAAAATACTGTCTTGTAATTGAGCACAGTCTCCACATCTTGCCCTTTCTCAGTAGTCCTATGAATTTATCCCAGCCTGAAAGTGGCATGACTTCTGATTGTGGAAGTTATGAAAGGAGCAAGAGGGAGAATTAGAATATAAAAGAGGCAGGGAGAGCTTGTTTGTATGATCTAACTACCCCTTGATTGGTTCTAGAGTTTGCAGGGCTGAGCTTCAGGTTGCTTTTCTTTGGAATAGAAGTCAGTGTCTGACCTCTTCATATAGTTCAGACAGCCAGGCTATTTCCTTACTGAAATCAAATTTTCCACTGATTTAGTAGCATGCATTGGAATATCAGTCTGTGCTTTTATGGCATCGATGATGAGTTACTCTGCCCTTTGGAGGAAAGGATAATTATGTTCATCAGCAATCTCTTGAACTGAATTCAGATACTGTGATTCTCTGAAGTAGTAAAACTAATTCTAGGTAACTTATCTCTTGATTTTGTTGGCTGCCACTTAGATAGCTGATGAACTTAAAAAGTAAATGAGAAAATGTGCTAAATAGAGCTGTCAACTCAAGTAGAACAATCTGTCTTATACTTAGAGCTGTAACATTGCTGAAATTATAAGGGTTGGAACGACACTAGTATGCTTTGTCTTGGATAATGTTTATTTAAAGGCACTATATTTATTTAGTGCTACAATATTTAACTTAAATGTAAATCAATACAAATAAGTCAGTACAAATAAACCAATTAATACTACTTTAAATGGGGATACAAACTGGCCCTTTGTTTCTAGGTATTGGATATTACACCCTAAGTACTTTTTATTAGTGTATTTGTAAAATGACAATTTCATTTTCTGATTTATTTATTTATTTATTTATTTGTTTGTTTTAAAGATTGCGTGACATCATCTTTTATCCCAATCAAGCCATTTTATAATATAGAGGAGCATCAACCTACAGTTGAAGTGGAGGAATTTGTACAAGTATCCACAAAATATTCCCGGCCTTATAGAGTATATAAGAACCAAGTATACATCTACCCAAAACATCTCAAGTATGATAGCCAAAAATGCTTCAGCAAGGTAAAGTAAGCAACCGTTTAAGGGTCTGATTTTGCCTCTCTTAGCCATCTTAAGTAATCCCTTAATCCATGAGTGCTCTCATTGCAATGAGTGGGACTACTTATCATAGCTAAAGATGGCAGAATAAGATTCTAAATTACTGAACTAACTTGCTGTCTATTTGATTCTGTATGGAACTTTTAAGCACAATAAGAATTTCCTGGAAGTGATTTTACATACAGATATTAAAGGACCCTTTTATGCTATAAAGGCAGCTCAAAGAAAATGTAGTATAGTAATTGCTGTCTGGCAATATTCTAGGAAATATATTTTAACATATATATGTATACAGTTGATCCTCTCTGAAATGAACCTTGAGAGCTCTGTGCATATTCTTACTAATTGTATATGAATTCAAGTCAAGACAAGGCTAAATACTGGTCCCTTTATGTTCTGCTTTTGCATAATGCATTTGAAGCCTAATTTAGTGCCTTCATGTTATTCTTTTTATGTGTTTATTTCCAATAATTTGGGGGGAGCTACACATATTTATGATGTGGCTCATCATCCATAGTGTTCTCCAGATTTTAAGCAGAATCTTGTTATGCTAGCCAATTAGCCTGTCATAAGGTGGGATTTTCAGGTCTCTCCTGCATGTCGGTCTTCTCTCCTGAGCCTCCGATTTCTCTCTCCGTCTCTCTCTCTCTCTCTCCTCCTTCTACTGCCTCAACTGCCCCCCAGCTCTCCTCTGCCTCCTGCCTCTCTCTCTGTCTCTCTCTTTCTCTTCTCCTCTCCCTCCTGCCTCTCACCTGGGGGACCGCGGAGCCCAAACGGAGCAAGCAGCTGTTTGGGCTCCCCCGCGGTGACCCTGCTGAGTGGCACAGAAGTCAGCCAAGCGACACGGCAGGAGGCAAAGGGGGGCGGGGCAATGACATTCACGGCCAGGGGGTGGGGCCTGGAGCTGCTCTCACGCCGCACGTCACCGCCCTCCCCCCTTCGCCTCCCACTGTGGCATTCGGCTGACTTCTGCGCCGGTCAGCCGGGCCGCCGCGGGGTAGCAAGCGGCGCAAGCAGCCGTTTGGGCCCTGCACTTCCCATGCAGCATGGGCCGCCCAGAGGGAACAGCCAGCATGTCAGCAGCATTTCAGCAACAGCGCCGCCCAGAGGGAACAGCCAGCATTTCGGCGTTACAGACTATCAAACATTGGGCTACAATATATATGATTTTGTTATATTTTGCATATCTTAATTTCTATGTGTTTTCATGGTTTAATGATTTCTACTTAAACTTTCAATGAATCACTGTTGCAGGCGCGGAACATTACAGTGTGTATTGAATTTAAAAGTTCAGATGAAGAAGGAGCCAAGCCAATGAAGGTGAGCAAAAACAAAGCACATTTGCAGAACAATGTATCAAAAGAGGTTTCGTATGAAACCCAGTAATTGAGAGTATTCTAATCAGGGACATTTAAAGTGTGAATATTGCAATATAGTCTTTTAAGTCTCCATAACAATGTTTTTAATAGCAGTTATTAACTGTATCAGCTGGAAGTGTCAACCCTGCAGTGCTAGTTCAGTGATTAGGCAAAAGGAAAGCTTGCAAAACATGGCTATTTCCAAGAAATGGCACCACCATGCAGAATGTTTTGATTTAAAATGTCAAGCTGTGCCTATCCTATACCTGGAAACAGCCTTAGAAAAACAATGAAGTGTTTCAGTATAGACCATATAGGGTACTGATACTACTGTTGGGTACGTCTACACTACAGCGCTAGTTCGAACTAACTTAGTTCGAATTAATTGGAGCCCCGATCATGGGCCAGAACCCCAGTGTGTGCAGCTCTGTATGGATGTAAAGAGCTTACAATCCAAGGCAGACACAAGCATACACACCCACAGCACAAACCTGAGTTTTCAAATGTGTCTGATTAAGCCGTGTACTGAAGTCTGCGTTTCAGCTCCAAAATGTTTTATACACCCAGCACCAGTCCTCGGCTAGCTTAAATCACTTTTGCTTCATTGACTTCAATGGCACCATGTTGATTTACACCAGCTAAGGATCTGATTTGAAGTCTGATCTAAAGCCTATGGAAAAGAATGGGAGCTTCTTCATTCTCTTCAATAGACTTTGGATCAAGTCCTTGGATTGAGGATTTTCCAAGCTGTTGTGGAGATTTGTTCATTTACATCACTTCCATTAGTTGTAAAAGAATACCTGTCTGAATCATTAGAATATCTTGGCAATCTCAATACATACATCCTTAAATAGCTCTTAAATGTCGAAGTTCCTAAACTGATATTTAGGGTCCACATTGTAAAGCAAGTGCACACATGACTTTGGCATACAGATCTCTGAACAGTAAGGTTATGTGCATGCTATCATTCCAACTCCCAGCAGCAAACTGGGGGAATTTACATACCACAGTAAAGAATGCACACTTTTGCATATGTCCTATGAAAATTAGAGTGTAGATATTTATTAAGTCTTAGTCTGAAAGTTCAGGCCTTATTTAACATGATGATGATGAACTACTTAAAATTAAAGGGTGGGATTTTCAAAAGCAAAAGTAGCTTAAGTGACAAAGGAGCATAACTACCACTGAACATTTTCCCCTACACATAGTAGATTAGATACAGTAGAATGGCTCAGTTTGTTGTTGGATATATTTTTCACATGCTCTTCCTTTCATTTTAGTCTAAGCTATAGTAGATATGGTACTATGAGCCTACAGTCCTGATGAAAGCAGAATTTCTTTTGACTTAAAAGGCAGTTTTGCCTCTAGATCTACAGGGCTAGCCCTATTTTCCTTATGACACAAATCCCACTCTGTGATATCCACAGAGGAAATGAGTATCAGAGGGGTAGCCTTGTTAGTCTGAATCTAAATAAACAACAAGAAGTCCAGTGGCACCTTATAGACTAAGGGTGAGTCTACACTAGCCCCCTAGTTCGAACTAGGGACGCTAATGAGGGCAACCAAAATTGCAAATGAATCACAGGATTTAAATATCCCGCGTTTCATTAGCATGTTCCCGGGCGGTTGCCATTTTTGGAAACTGACTAGCCTGGAATAACTGCCTGCATCTACACGCAGCAGTGAAACGGGAGTTTGAAGTAAATCCCTTAACTCGAATTAGCTGTTAAACCTCATTCCATGAAGAGTAACAGCTAATTTGAGTTAGGGGTTTACTTCGAACTCCCATTTCACTGCCGCGTGTAGACGTGGGCAGTTTTTCCAGGCTAGTCAGTTTCCAAAATGGCGACCTCCCGGGAACATGTTAATGAAGCACGGGATATTTAAATCCTGTGCTTCATTTGCAGTTTCGGTCGCCCTCATTAGCCTCCCTAGTTTGAACTAGGGGACTAGTGTAGACATACTCTAACAGATTTATTGGAGCATAAGCTTTTGTGGGCAAAGACCCACTTCATCAGATGCTTGGGTCTTTGATGCACGAAAGCTTTTCCAATAAATCTGTTAGTCTATAAGATGACACAGAGGAAATTAGTTGGTTCAGCTTCCGGCAACAAAACCTTGGCTTGTTAGCTCAACCTGTAGCAGCTCTGGCTTTTCACTGTGGAGATCCCCAGTTTATTCTTCAGCATATAAACCAAGCTGGTGGTCAGCACATCTGGCTGGCTCACTTAATGAACTGCCAGATGCGTCGATTGTCCATGTAGATATGTCATGCATTAAAATAGTATTAAGAAACTAAGATTATCAGAGTTAGATTTCCCAACTTATACAGAGTTGTTCAATGAATAGAGAATCTGGCTTTTTTCGCAGCTTCACTTTTGACCGTAAGCCATCCACTTAATATCTTTGCACCTCCATTTCCTCACACATAAAATAAGCTAATCAAGAATAATAGAAACTAGAAATATAAAGGGCCTATTAAGTTCCCTTATTCTGCAAATGTAGGAAATTCTTGTTATTGTCGTTGTGCCTAGAGGCCCCAGTAAATCATTGGTGTTGCATTGTGCAGGAACAGTTTATATAAAGAAAAGACACTCTTGTAAATCTTTTTTGAGCTATGTCTATATTAGTATTATCTGCAAGCTTTGACAACTGAACTGAAGTGTAATATTTTAACAGTGTATTTATGGGAAGCCTGGTGGACCATTATTTACAACAGCAGCCTACACAGCAGTGCTACATCATTCCCAGAATCCTGATTTCTATGATGAGGTCAGTTCATTCCTCACTGACTAGACAACTGTTACTCTGACAATACGTGTTAATTAAAGGCACAGAAATGTTTTTAAAAAATTACCTGTCCTGCTATAACTGTTCACGTATATAGGTGAGTATGAGTTTCATTGGATAGCAAGATTTTTACTCATTGAAACACACAGAGCATGAAATAAAATCTCACCGTTTCTCTTAACATATCATAATGGCCAGTCTTTTTGTAAACTCTTTTGTGTACATACTTAATAATGAACAGTCCTGCTCTCTAATGTGTTTGCCTGAATCAAAAGCCAACCTCCAACTTTAGTTCCATTTAATGTTTTCATTGTACTATTCTTTAGAGGTGAAATTCATGCATGGTGCCCAGATCCAGCTTAAGTCCCTCCATACCATTTAAACACCACACAGCTTCACCATGCAGTAAGGGACTGTGGCTTCTGCAAGTTAGCCACACCTTTGGGGAATATAACGAAGCCTGCAAACTGGCCTTCAGTTTGTGGGGTATAGTAATAGCTACATTAGCTCCTTTGCATGCAGATGTACACTTCACCAGCATAAAGTCCAGTTCCTTGGGTTTTCTGCAGGTGAAATTTCACCCTAAACAATTCAGAGTGCTCCAGAGCCTTGTAGTATTAGTGTTTTTGACAGCACACTAACAAAAGATCATTGCTTTTCTAGACTTTGCACTTTTGTTTTCAGAGTATACTAATATTAGTAGTACTGCAGACAGCAGGGATGGTCCTGTGTTCTTCATTGGCAAAACTTTCCTTTCATTTCAATGGAAACTTAGCCTGAGTGAAGAGCACAGGTCAGGCTCAATGGGTGGAATTCTCCAAAATACAAAGTATCCATTTAAGTTCCATGGATATTTAAGAGAGCTTGATTTACAGAGGCTGGAGTTGAAGGTGCTTAGCACATCTGAAAATCTGACCCCAATTGGTGCAGAGGGCCTTATGCAAGCCCTCTGTGTTCTGGTGAGTTTTTTTCCAGCATGACTATAACATATTGAGTTCAGACTTCACCATCTAACAAAAATTGATTTTGGTGATCCTGCCACACAGTATTGACCCTGACAAGCAACAAATATAGTGCAATATCTAAAAGAACCTTCCCCCCCCCCCACTCACTGATGAAGTGGGTTTTACCCACGAAAGCTCATGATACTATATATTTTTGTTAGTCTCTAAGGTGCCACAGGACTACTCATTGTTAACCTAGTGTAGCATCTAAAGAAATTGTTTATGTTTCATGTTTAAATGCTCATTTCATTGATATGTTTATAATATATGCTATTTTCACCCTTAACCTGATAATTATATCAGAAATAAGTCCCAACCCAATTTCTAACTCTAGATTAGTTAGGTACATCGTTACTTCATAACTACGGTGCATAAGGGGTCTTATCCATTTGTTGCCACAGTAACATTTTTCAGTGTATTGTTCCCATGTGTTTCAATAGATTAATAATAGCCCACCTTGCGTTTGTGCAGATAAGTGAACAATAGACTACTTTTTCTTATTGGGACCTATGGGATTTATGACTCATTTGAGATCATAAATAAAAGTTTTTATTTTTACATCAACCCTTGTTCACCTTCAGTCTTTGTCATAAAATCACTTATGATGAAGTATCATTAATATTTTTAATTTAAAGGGTATCCAGGCTGACTCACTCTTCTACTAAAGGAGGAATGATAGAGAAAGAAAGAATGGTGTCTTCTGAATAGGGTCTCCTGGAGAGGAGATGACTAGTTCTAAGCAGCCTGTTTGAGCAGGGTTCTTGAATTTTCAGTTCTGTGTTATTTCATTAGATACACAAATTCAAAGGCAAGGGAAGAAAAACCAGTGAGCGTAATAAATGGTACCTCTCAATGATTTCCTTAAAAGACTAGCTGTTACACCTGTAAAAAGAGCAACACAGTTGCCGGTCAAAAGGGCAGCTTTAATTAGAGATATATAGAAAGAGGAATTTCTCTTTTAGAGTCCATCTCTTAGTCCTGGTTGATTCCCTTTAAACTAAAGAGAGGTGTAACCTTTTACATTTCAGGTGAAAATTGAGCTCCCCACTCAACTCCATAAGAAACACCACATTCTGTTTTCATTTTATCATGTCACCTGTGACATAAATGCAAAAGCTAATGCCAAAAAGAAAGAGGCTCTGGAAACACCAGGTACCTGCAGTAGAATTACTTTCAAATAATTCCTTGCTAATGTTTGTCTGCATTATATTTATAGTGATATTTGTTCATCTGAGGTTTAAGGATTTCACAGTTTCTGTTTGTTGCTTTTGTACACTGTAATCCTGTGAACTGAAGATCTTATACTAAAAAATGTTGTATTGGTTTGCTCTTGTGTGCAGTTGGATATGCTTGGCTTCCTTTACTGAAAGATGCCCAGTTAGCTTCTCAAGAACATAACATTCCAGTGGCAACCAGTTTGCCTCCCAGTTACTTAAGCCTTCAAGATCCTGCAAGTGGAAAGGTATTAAGAAATATTTTTATATTATTCAGAAGGAACGAGAGAAATTGAAGTATGTGTTATTAAAATGGTAGGGCCAGGTTCTCATTTATGCCATGCTGGCAATGTTAAGGAGCCATTGTATGAATCATGAACTGGACCATGCTGTTTAGAGTATTCATATGGATATCATTCAGATTTTAAGCTGATATGTATACCAACAGAATCAGGACAAATTATGTCTTTTCTGGTGCAGTGCTGGGAAAAGAAATTACCCTACCTAACTGGCACTAAATGGGTAAACTATGAAATCTTCACAACTGTTGGAAGCAACATAGTGTGGAGAGTGGGTTTTATACACTTTCAGCTGGGGTTCCCTACCCAATCTGACTAGCAAAACTCCCCTGATCTTTGTCATTGCTTCCAGTATTCCCTACTAGTCCTTGAGCTGTGCCCAGTTAAAAATCCACAGGAGAGTTTCTGGGCAGTTTCCTCTGCAGTTGTACAAACTGAGTAATGCAGAAGAGCTAAATAGGTCTGTGGATCTAATCCAGTGCTTTGTGGCAGTGACAGGATAGTGTGGAAACTCCCATTGTGACTGCCTCTGCAGTAACTGAGAACTGAATATTTCAAATATTTTACTATCCAGCCCTGAGGGACTTGCACATTCACAAAGCTCTGCAACAAAAAGTGATGCAGAACTGAATGATGCTGACATGTGTATACTTTTGTGGTGTTAGTAAATGAGGAAATAAGAGAACAATATTTTTTTTCCTGCAGAGTGGAAGTGACATTAAGTGGGTAGATGGTGGGAAGCTGCTTTTCAAAGTGTCTTCATTTGTTGTATCAACTGTAAATACTCAGGTGAGTTTGCATTTTCTCTCAGATGCCCTTATCTGTCCATCAAAAATGAGTGCTAGGAAAAGCCTGACAAATTATCTTAATACAATATATCTTGGATCTTTTATGAATCTGTCTAACATTAAAGATCATCTCAATGTAGGAGGGCTGAGGAGTAAGAAAATAAAGAAGTAAATACCCCTTTTAAGGAAAAAGGGGTATTATTTAGGATGGTACAGACAGATGTAACTAGAAATTTTAAAACATCCTGATGTCGAGATATGTTGGATCATGGGAAAACCCCATTGCTTTGGACACTGAAAACAAGACTGGACAAAGCATTAGCAAAGGCACTCTGCTGGTAAGTGGATGGACTATTGTAGTCAAATCCCTGCTGGCCTTTTCCACATCTGATTTCTATTATTCTGCAATGCTGTATGGTGCAGTGTAAAGTTCCTGGATTTTATCCAGCATGACCAATTCATTGAGATTGTTAGCAAATATTTGAATTGCAGTCCATGCTAAAATAGACATTAACTTTAGCGTATGTTTTTCATTTTAGGATCCATATCTGAATATCTTTTTCCAGCAGTGCCAAAAAAGAGAAATGGATCTCTCCCAGCCTCCTACCTCAGACTTTATCATGTCATGCAAGGTAAAATAACTATAAATGTGTTACGAGCTGATGTAAATAAATGCATTGTAAGGGCTAAATTCTAGGGATGTCAATGTGTAGACAACTGCACGACTAACTGATAAGTCTGGGCACAGGGGGAAAGAGGGGAGTAGAGAGGGACAGGGGACACTGCTGTGAAGCAGCCTCTCATCCGTGGAACTCGGATCCCCCACAGATGGGCTGCTGCTACCCCACACTGCTGCCTCTATATCAGAGGCAGCAGCACAGGGCATCAGGTGGAAGCCGGTCTTCATAGAGAGGCAGCAGCACAGCATGACACAGGGAGTGGGGCTGGGAGCTCACTGGTTGTCGGCCTGCCTCTGGGGACTATTGAATAGTTACACAACTATTCAGTTATATGCTGTTTAACATCCCTACTAAATTCTAGCTCTTTTTGAATTTTTCTCCCAAGTGAACCTGTTTATGACTCTAAACTGCCATGAGCTAGACTGTGTCCCAAGGACATAGGTCATCATAAGGTAGAGCCTGCTGCCATGCTGCACCAGAGAGTGTTGCAGAGAAGGAATTAGAGCGTGAGGAGCCACAGTTATCTTGCTGTTCCCCTCTTGCTCCAGGCCTACTTTTTCCCCTTCTTTTTTTGCAGAAGAGAGGAAGTTAAGAAATTGGCATCCAGTACCCTATAACTCTGCATACCGGCCCAAGGATACAGAGAACCCTCATAGGGGGATCTTATTCCTTTTTGCATTCTTACATGGATGCCCACTCCTACAATGAATTCTGAATCCATTGGGCAGTGAGAAAATCACATGGGCTCACCTTAAAATACATATTTTGGAGCAGAGTAAGAAGGAGCTAGAATACTGAAGGGCAATTTACAAAACATTATACTTTCTTAGAGATCATCTGAATCTAATAGCAGTTTCTAGGTTAAGAGACTAACATGAAAGGCATTTTCCCCTCATTACTTTATTTTCACAATTAAACTGATTTTATTAAGCTGCTCAGTGAAAGATAATTTTGCTGTATCTTACCAATAGTCGTGACATTTCACTGGGCAACTATTTAAAGATGTCATTTTGTAATATGTGTGAATGAAAGTGAGATATTTATTTTGTTGCTTTTGTTTTTGTTGTTTTAAATGTAGTAATAATAAGTCCTGGTTGAATTTAATATTGTGACTATTTTCATGAATAAAATCATTAGGTTCCATTTCTTCTATGATGTATTTATTATTCATGTGTATTCAGCTGTTGACTAGGTATTTGGGAAAATGTTTGTGAATACCCAAAAGGTGCCTGATTTTTAGCATGAGTGATTACACACCCAGAAAAGCATGCTAGAAGTGCATTGTTCAATACTTGCTACTTTTTGCATGCCTTTTTGTTATATTTCAATCATCCAATCAGGAAACAGAAATAAAATCACATGAATTAGGTAGCCAATCACACAACATAAATAGATAACAGATTTTCCAAGTGCACAGTTCATGAACAAACAATAATCAGGAAAATAATTTCCCCAAATTTCGGTTTCTATATGTAAATCAGAAATTCATTTGAAGAAAATCAGAGAATTAAATCCATAACAATATTATTTTAATGAATAACTCTAGCTCAATCATGTAGGATAATGGGGCGTCACTGTCCATTCTGTCTAGAGAGTTTTTAATCAGTATGATTTTTGACCTGCTCATAATTTTATTTAAAATGAAACACACAGCATATGAGGTCTCAGCCCAGGAATAATGTTTTCTCAAAATTGTAGGGGCACAGGTTTAAAAGTAAAAACTTCAGTCCTTCAAAATTGCTACATATGAGCAAACATGGGGCAAGATTCTCCACTATCTTACACTGGTTTAATTCCACCTCGCTGCAATTACCAGATGGTAAAACCAGTGTGATGGAGTGGAAATCAGGTCCTAGTGGTCTGTGGTTTATGTTTGAAATCCATCTTTATTCTGCTTTGTGTTTCATACAGAATTTGCTGAAAATTGAGAAGATTCATGTAATTATGAATTTTCTTCCTGTGATCCTGAATCAACTCTTTTGGGTTCTGGTACAAAACGACATGGATGAGGTTACCACTGCAGTAACAAGGTATTCAAAAAATTGTTATATATATTAGGGGCAAATACATCCCATTGTGCAGGGGTCTGCAACCGATGGCTCTAGGGCTAAATATGGCTCTCAGTATAGAACCAAATATGGCTCTTTTGTTGTTCCTAAAATACACACAACTTTTAAAATTAAAATGAAAAGTTAATTCAAATATTTAAAAAGGCATAATTATACATGTCAAGATTCTCTTTTTTTCTCTATTCACCTTTAACTATTCATTTTCACAACCATCCAGCCTCTCCACTCATTGGTGGTCATGCATATTTTCTTTTTATTTGATTGGTCGAGAAATCTTTCCATCATCATATGTGATGGTGAACTCTGTGGCCCTCTAATAGTAACAATGGTGAAGAGAAAGGGAGATGATGAGTACTGAAATTTTCAAAAGGAATGGACAGACTTATATGCATTTGTGGCTAGGTCTGGATCTCCTCACTGTCTCATTTGTAGAATGAGACTGTCCTCCTACCAAAAAAATGAATTTAGAGTGGTATTTCATGACAAAACATGCAGCATTTTCTACAAAATACCCTGAGGGAGGAGTGTGAAAAAAAGCCTGCAAGGAGCTGCGGCAAAAAATGAACATTGGGCAAAATAGGCAACTGTCATGGTCAAAAAAAGGTAGGAGCTTAAACTCTGCAAGTTTTGCAGGCTCATACAGCATTATTGGAGAGGAAAAGCCTTTCACTGATGGGGATTACTTGAAAAGAAACATGCTAAAAATTGGTCATGATGAGTTTCACAACAAGGACAAAATCGTACAGAAAATTCAAGACATGACATTATCAGCAAAAATAGTTCATGACAGAGCTGTGAAAAGGCCCATCAAATTGACAAGGAACAAATGCAAAATTTGAGTGCTGCTACTTATTTTTGTTTGTTTTGGACAAAACAACTGACATATGTGACATTAATAAGTTGTGTATACCGGGATACTAATGAGAAATTGAAGAAGGGGCAAAGACATTTTTAAAACTGTGATGAACTTTGTAAATGAGAAAGAAAGACAGATGGATAATCTTGCATCGGTGTATAAGAACGGTGCACCTAGCATGGTCAGCAAATACAAGGGATTCCTTATTCTTGTCGGAAAAGCTGAATCACCCACTTTTGAACTTTCATTGCATTGTGCGTCAGGAGGCACTTTGTGCGCAATCTTGTAGAACTGAACTCGGAAATGTAACGGAACTGGTTGTTCACATTGTCAATTAGATTCTTGCCAGAGCCCTTAATCACCGTCAATTTCAGTCACTGCTCACTAGTTATCTTGTGGCAAAGTTTCATCTCATTTTGCTGCCAGCATTAACAAGATTAAGTCATTTTTGGATATGAAGCGTGTCAAAAAGTCTGAGCTTTCAGACTGTGACTGGTTGCTCAAGTTTTACTATCTCATCTGTATTACTGGTCAATTGAATGAGTTGAACCTTAATCTACAAGCACAAGGAAAAACAGTCCTGACTCTGCAGCAGGAAGTATATGGATTTAAGTCAAAATTGACACTCTTCATCAGATACAGAGGAGGGCAGACTGGCACTTTTTAAAAGATTACAAATGTTTTGTGATTCATATCAGAGAGGGAATCCAAGTAACAGCCTTGATTTAAAGCATCTTGCTGGGTTTGTTTCTGAGCTCCTGATGGCATTCAGAGTTTCATTTTATGACTTTTGCTAACACCGTGCTTTGTCCAAGTTTATAATTCGTCTACATAAAGCATCCGTTAAAGAACGACAATCATTCCAGATATCTCAGTCAGTGATTTGGAAAAGGAAATAGCAGATTTCAAGGATTCGGCTATCTAGGTGGAAAAAATTGTCAAGCTGAATTCTGATTTGGAATGTCTTGCTCGACAATGTGCAGAATTGGCAAAACTGCGCAAATGGAGCATGTTGATAATGATAATCTGATTCTGCAAACTTGGAAAAAACTTCCTGTCGCATAGGACACCTGTCTCATACACCACCATCGGAATGTCAGCTTGGCCTTGCTTTCAATGTTTGGCACTACAGGCAGTCCCCGGGTTACATGGATCCGACTTACATCAGATCCCTACTTACAAACGGGGTGAGGCAACCCCGCACTAGCTGCTTCCCCCCAGCAGATCAGGGAGACACGAAGCTAGCACTCCCCCCCTTCCCCCCCCAGCAGATCAGGGAGACGTGGAGTGGCTTTTCTCAGTAGACACCTCAGCTTGAGAATAAAGGACTGAGGGAAGTGAGGTGTGGGAGAATAAAACTGAGCTCTGGAGAAATGTTTGGCTAGAGTTTCCCCTACAATATGTACCAGTTCCGACTTACATACAAATTCAACTTAAGAACAAACCTACAGTCCCTATCTTGTATGTAACCCGGGGACGGCCTGTACTTATATGTGTGAGCAGACTTTCTCTCATTTGAATCACTTCAAAGGTAATTTGCACTCAAGATTGAGAGCAGATAGCCTGAATGCATGTTTGAAGCTGAATTTGACCAATTGTGGTGTAAACTTCAAAGAAATGTGCAAAAAGATGCTAGCACAGAAGTCCCATTAAATAAAGTTAAGTGCAATGCTTTGTTTATGCTATTATTAAGAATAATTAATTAATTATTCATATAATGATAATATAATTATAATTAATCAATATTAATCAATTGTCAGTGATAGTACATGTATATTTTCATTCATGCAAATGGGCATTCTTATACTGACTCTTTGTTGACTCATTCTTATACTGAATTTTGATGTACTTTTGCTCTTTGGTTTGAAAGGGTTGCTGACCCCCTTCCATAGTGTGACTTTTGATTTGATTTCAGTTATGAACCATGGCTGAATATGCTATTTAGATTTTAATAGAAGATGAGCTCTTTATCCCAAAAATATCTGACTCCTAAATGTAACAAAGAACTTTGTAAGTCAGTCAGGTAACTAAATGTAGGCTATGATATCACAATTGACATGAGCCATAAAATTGTTTTTCCTATGCAGACATTGTTTTTGCTACTGTTCAAATCACTTGTCTGCCAACTAGTAACAAGGAGCTTTGCTAGAAAATTTCCTGAGGTGTTGAGCACTTCCTGGAATGGTGCTTAGTGTCCTTAATTCCCTCTCACTTCCTTCTGCGTTGAGGCTACTGAGCACCTCAAAGAAAGAGGTCAGTGCCTTGTAGGATTAAGTTTATAATTAGGTGAGTCAGGTTACCACATTTTGGACAGTTTGTAATGAAAATATTTAAGCATTAACAGTGAACAACAGGGAAGGCATTATCCAAGGAAATAAAAGTCAGCGGGAGTGACTCACCAAGGGGTCTGTAACCTCCAGGAAAGTCCAACTAAAATATTTATTTATTTATTTAAAATAAAATATTTATTGCTACTCTTAACCCTGAAAACAGAAAAAGAGAATGAGGTAATTTCCAGCAGATGCGCTGAAAAGGACGTTGTACTCCATAGACTTCTCTCTGTTGGCCTTTCCCCAGCAATTAATGCCTGGGGAGTAACCAGAAGACAAACACAACTTAATCCTCAGCAGTCCCATTGTGTTTCTAAGTGCTGTTAATATACTTTATATATTTACTGAAACTGGTTTGCCCTGCTTAACTGTTGAAGGGAGATTTATTGTAAGACTTCAGGTTCCTGATGCTGGATTCCTTGAGTTAACTTTAATAGGCGTTTACAATGCTCAACACTTCAAAGGTTTTCAGGTCCTGAATTTCCACGAATAGGAAATTATGTCTGGAATTAATTTAGCAGTGCAATTTCCCTGGCTGGCAAAGGCTGAGCTTATCCCAGTGGTGATATACTCAGTCTCCAAAAGGAGGATATCAAACCTTCTCCTATGATCCCAACCACCTAATTAATTAACTCCAATGCCAACTGGGGAATAGATGGTTTTTCCAGAGTTAGTATAAATTGGGGTACCTGGAAAATGAGGCAGTAATAAAGTTGGTCTAGAGACTGGAAGGACAGCCTTTTTTATGCTTAAATACTTGGCTATCCACCCACCTGGTAGAAAATGACTTTTCAGTGATTATCTGGGTACTGGCTCTGTAACAACATTGCTGATGTCAATAGCAATGTGCACAGCTGTGAACTAGCAAAATTCTGTGCATGTCTTTCATTGTTTGATCGCTGTACATGTACACACATTGTATTTTGTTTTGAATAACTTGAAATACCTGGGGTTGAACAAGTTAAAAACTATAGAAAAAAACTCAAAACTGTTCATAATTGTGAAAAAATATTTTCTTTGTACTTTTGTCTTGATTACTGATTTTCCTGGGGATCCAATAATGTAGTCATTATTCTGCCAAAATTCAGGTTGATATCAGATGAGTAAGGACTGAATGACTAGAATCTTAGCAAATAATTTGCTCAATTATTTATTTTCCAAGGAGTACTAATTACAATGAGAAATGGTTTGCAAAACAATGTAAAAAATAGCGGCTTTTTTTTTGGATCCTATTGCAGGAGTACACGGAAAACATCTAAAAAACTAGATCAGTAGTTGTAAACACTGTGGTGCATGGATTGGTTTATCAGAATAAGAACTTAAGAATGATCATACTGGGTCAGACCAACGGTCTATCTAGCTCAGTATCCTGTCTGCCAACAGTGGCCAATACCAGATGCCCCAGAGGGAGGGACCACAACAGGTAATCCTCATGTGATCCCTCTTCTGTCACATATTTTCCAGACAAACAGAGGCTAGGGATACCATTCCTATCCTCCTGGCTAATAGCCATTGATGGACCTAACCTCTGTGAATCTATCTAGCTCTTTTTTGAACCCTGTTAAAGTCCTAGCCTCTGCCACATTGTCTGGCAAGAAGTTCCAGAGACTGACTGTGTGCTGAGTGAAGAAAAACTTCCTTTTGTTTGTTTTAAACCTGCTGCCAGTTAATTTCCTTTGGTGACCCCTAGTTCTTATATTGTGAGAATAAGTAAATAACTTTTCCTTATTTACTTTTTTCACACCAGTCATGATTTTATAGACCTATCTCATATCCTCCATGATAGTAATACTAATTAACATATAATTAAGAATCCATGATAGGAATACTAATTAACATATACACCAAATAATTTTAAGTTTGGAATATGGTCCACTAGGTCTTAACATTTGAGAGCTGCTGCACTAATTTTGTTTTCATTCTTGCCATATAAACATTGGCTATTTATTTTTACATTTTGCAGAATAAATAGAATGTATCTTGCCTGAAGTGCTCAAAGAATCGGGGGGAGGAGGTACCTAACAGGAGACATGTTCTAATAAAGATGGAGCAGACTTATGTTCAGTACCTTTGTGAATTTCATGGGGTGATATGTTAAAAAGAGGGAGCTCTCAAAAAAACATGGTCACTGGTGCAGGTTTAACTGCATACAGAGAGGGTGCCTCTGGCAAAGTGACTTACCAGTCAGTGTGCTGCCTGTGCAAGGCTTTTGCTCTGTAGTCCTGTCATCCAGCTTCACCAGTGGTTCCTTTTGCCTTGTGACCCGGCCCTCTGGCTCGGTTATCTTTACTCTGACCCTTTTTGGGGTAAAACAAGATTTTTCACCCATTAGTCCAGGACCTCACACTGGACCTGCTCCAAACCCAGTAGTCATTCTGGCCTCTAGTGTTTGGGGTCTTTCTGCTAATTTTCTCAGTGAGGTTGTAGATTAATCCGGTCCCTCCCTCTATTCTGTGTTTTAACCCAGGGATCCTTACAGCATATGGTCAGATCTCTTGCTTCTTCCACAGACTACTCGCCACATTAGCCCCCCTTTCCCTTGGGAGTTCATAGTGTGAGGAGGGGGGCTTCTGCTCCAGGGTGCTGCTCCTAGTTCTCAAGGCAAGAAAGGAAAGGAAACTAGCTTAACAGAAGCAAAAAGCAGCAACATCTTCTCTGTCATACCCAGATCATCCAGTCTCCTGCCCTACAGTTTTGTGTGCACAAGCAACTAAAGCTAGCTTGGCTCTCTGCTACGTTCCTTCCTGGCTCCTGAGGGTGAGGTCTGTCTACCACCCCAGGCTGGGCTCTTTTCCCTTTAAGGCTCATCTACAAAGTTGGCATGGAGCTGAGTTGCCCGAGCCAAAGTTGCTCTTTAACCCCTTCTGGCCTTGTGTGGGGTTTGTACACCCCACCGCAGAACCCTTCCCTTCTAAGTGTCCCTTTGCCAGACTTCTAAGCCCTGAAAGGTTAGGATAGAAATTCTGACACAATAGCTTTCAATAGACTTTGATTCCCAACTTCATTTACACTCTCTCTAATTCCCTTCCTTGTAACTTCTTCATAATATTCCCAGATCCATATAAATGTTGAAGTGTCCTCCAGTGATTTGTAGGCTTATTTAACACCAACATCACAACTGTTAACATTGTTTTAACTGGGTGTATTTCGTTAGAATAGCAGTAACTTTTTAGAATAAGGCCCTGATTTACCATTGTGCCCCATACAAGCAGGGTTCTGTACCAAGATAAAGTGCCCATGAAGTCAATGAGTTCCACATGGGCACAGACTATTAATTGCATGGATCAGACACATAATGGATAGTTTTGAATCTGTACAACAGTGTGATAAAATGTAATGTGTGTAAAGATGTATTTTCTGCTTCATGCTGAAAGATCGCTTATTACCTTTCTTCTCTAGGGTTCTTACTGACATTGTTGCCAAGTGCCATGAAGAGCAACTAGAGTACTGTGTCCATTCTTATGTAAAGGTATGAAATATCCAATTGACCTTTGATCGTCTGCTGTATGCTGCACATTATTTCTGCTTTCTCTTTCTTCCTTTCTAGTAGTTTTTCCAGTATTTGAACATCTGCCTTCTGCCTCTTTAGATGGTGCAGTGATTAGGGCACTAGCATGGACTTGGGAGACCCAGTTTTCATTCCCTGCTCTGCCACAGACTGCCTGT